TATTACAGTAAGGCAGCAGAGATGAGGGTCCCCACTGTGCGTACTCCTTAAATAATGAACAGGGCACTGAGGCACGCAGAAATGAAGCACGTTGGTTGAGGTCACACAGTGTGATCTCACTGGATGTGTGACCACAGTTGGAATCGTGTCCATCCTCATTACCTGCCGGTCTTCTGCAAGATGGCAAAGATGCGGAAATAATAAAGTCACAGCAATTGGTCTAAGGAAATAGAAATACAGCAAAAATGGGAGAAGCAGAGATGAGCACATGTAAGAGAGCAGTATGGACTTGACACGTGTGGCCCCACATCCCTGTTTTTCCTGTCTCCATCCCAGCTGTGACTCCATCATGGCAGAAGAGGCTAACGTTAAGCACTGGTTAACTTCCTGAGGCCAAGGAAACAAATGTCAGAAATGACTCAAAAGCTTGCTCCTACCACTCTGCTCTCTGTACAATTTTCTGAAAGTAGAGCAGTGACCACAAGCTCTGCCTGTGAGGCACGGAAGTGGCACAGGTTTAAAATTCAGCTTTTAAAAATTGGAGAACCCACAAAGCTGCCAACTCTGTAATTCTGTGTACTCGAATCAGAATGACAGCCTGTCTCAAGATGAGCAGAAATGACAGCAGCTTGCAGCTGGACCATTCCCCTGGTAAAATCCATTTATTTTAGGCATTTTTGATGAAAATTTCCAGTTGTTTTAAAGCTACACCAGTGGCTAATAGCCTGGAGAACAGAAATTGGAGCTTGCAGGCTGAGCACCCAAAGGGAAACCAAATGATTGCTGCTATGAAAACAAATGGCTCTGTGCAGGAGCACCTCCAGCAAATCAGCTCCCATCCATTTTAAGCAGCTCCAGGACCACAGGGGCAGAAGAGCCTGGAAATAAATAATGAGTAACAGCATGGCTGAGGGCAGGGGAATGCCCCTCTGCAGCAGACCCAGAGGCTACAAGGCCTGCCCTAAATCCATGAGCTGTGCTGAGAGGCAGATCTGTAGAAATAAAGAATGAGGTTCGTGCTCAAATCATTGCAGAAGTGACTGGAAAAGTCAGTAGGGTTTGCACCTGGTCCCTCCTGCATTTTGAAATTGCGAGATGTATGTTGCACTTATATTTAATAACATGTATAGATAAAGCTGGCAGAGGAAGACGTGCTGGCTGCTCCCTCTGAGCATCCCATGCGTTGGGTGAACAAAACCCACGTAAGCTCAGGTGCTGCAGGTTTCCTCCCTCATAAGGAGGGCACACGAACAGCTCATCCCACGGTGCCCTTGTGGCTGAAGCACAGAGGAAGGTCCCACGTCACCCCGACACCTCAGTAAATGCGAACTGGACAAATGACAGTTTTTATCTCTAATTATTCTGGCATGTGAGCCTTGCAGTTTTATTTGCATCTAGCAAAGACATGATTACAAACAGGTGTTTTGGGTTTTTGGCACCTCAGCTGTATTAGCCTTATACATTATTTTGCTAAAGCAAGTTGCTTCCATATATTGGCAGAGAATTACAGAAGCATTATTGCCTGCCCATGAGAAACAGCTCCAGACTTTAAGAGGTCAACAGATTGAACCTCCCTCACTTTGGCATCATCAGCAGTTGCTGCTGTGTGTAGTTCCTACAATAGAAAGGGCTTTCCTTATGCTGGAATGAGAGGAGCATGTTAAATAGCTCTGAGTGGGAACTCCAGCTGGTGCATTGTGCTACCCCATTTTTATATCTTATTTTTTGGCTTCTGATGCTCTGACTTGGATGGCTTCCTTAACTCCGCATCCCACAAGGGAAAAGATGGGATTGTCGTGCTGCAACCACACAGCTCTTTGGGAAGTTCCACATGCATCCACGGCTCCAACTTCGGCCCATCACCACCTCTGAGAAGATAATGCATCTCCCCTGCATAACATCCTTAACTAGGATTCCTGATCTCCCATTACAAAGCACTGCAGGGGCAGTTTGTCACTCTCATTAAGCAGATGCAGAAAAGCACACAGAATTATTAATACCACACAGTTATGCAAACAGCAGTGAAAAATGGTTGCCACATTTTCTCCATAAGCGATGCAAAATCTTTCCAATTAACATTTTAATTAGAAAATTCACTTACCATGAAACTGTCCTGAATTTCTGTCAGGGTTCTACCCATCCCATCCCTCTGCAGCATTTTCCACCAGCTCCGAGGGACCCAGCAGCTGAAGGGGAGTTTCGATGTGAGTTATACTCTTAGCTTGTGCTTGATTCTCTTTATTTTACAACTTCAGGCATTCAGGCTTCTATTTTACCATCACTTGCCCTTGAAGACTAATGCAGCTTTGGGGGGGGGAAAAAAAAAAGCAATTACCCACTCTGAAAAGCCTCCTAGTTACAATTATGAAATAATAAGATGTCAAAGGAAAACGCCTAATTTAGATATAGTGGTTTAAACTTCGTTTAGCGAACTGCAAACTATTCTCTCCCATCATTGCACCCACACAGAACAACGATGCCTTTGGCCGGCACAGAAAGCAAATTTGCACAGCTTTCTTACAGCCTTGCTGAGAGTGCATTAGAAATTGATAACCTATTTTGCTCACTGTGTCACCAATAATGCATTGCTTAGCGCTCCAGTTCCATTCCCTTTTTTGAATACACTTTGTAAGCAGGAAAACTTCTGTCTCTAGGGTAAAAAAAAAAGAAAGCATAACATTTGAGAATCACAGAATTGTAGGGGTTGGAAAGGAACTCTAGAGATCATTGAGACCAACCCCCCTGCCAAAGCAGGTTTCCTAAACCAGGTTGCACAGGTAGGCGTCCAGGCGAGATTTAAACATCTCCAGAGGGCAGTCAGTTTGTGAGCACTGAGGCTGATGGACAAGTGTCACAGCTCCTGGTGGTCCCACACCAACACCCCAACCTCCCTTCATGCCCACCTTCAGTTATTGGGTGAAAAATCCACCTTTCATTGAGAAATTCTACAAGAATACCAATGGTGATGTCTAAACAAATACAAATTTTAAACTGGAGTTTTTAGACCAACCTAATCATCACCACACAACACACATTTTTGGGAACAGCAGATTCCTAACATCGCAGATTCTCACTACGTGTGCTGCCAGGTCAGATCTTACTCATCTGAACACCACCTGAGCTGCAGTAAGAAGCACTGCAAGGTGGCAGAAGGAAAGAGATGATGCCCCTTATCCTGTAATCGTGTACTCTGATAGTGTCCAGGTATCGTTATCACAGCCTGAGCTTTTTATGAGTGCAATGCAGGCACACACTTTGAAAGCTGGCAAACTGCGCTCCTCATCCTTGCAACAGGCATTAAGCAGAACCATATGCTTGCACAGATTTTGCAAACTATTGTGGAGACGTGCAATATGTGCTGAGACAAGCCAGTCGCATACAAGCATTCAGGAACCAAAGCTGGTGGCAGTAGTTGTGAAGCAGTCTCCCCCTCCACACTGCCCAAACCCTTGCTGGGATTTGGGGCCACCCGTAGGTCCCACAGCACACATGCTGTGCCTCAGCCATAGCTGGGTGAGCATTACAGCTCATGAGGACCATTTTGCACTGGCTCAGAAATTAAGTACTAGGTGTATAAGGTCACATGCAAGCTGTAGGGAAGAAGAGCAAGACAGAGACACTGAGGAGGGACAGCACTTTGATGGAAACCCTTCAAATAAGCCAAGCCTTCCTTCTCCACCTTGGAGGCAACAGCTCCTCTGTTGTAAACTTCAAGTCTGTGCTACAGCATGAAGAAAAGTTGTTTCATCTCAGCCTCAAAGGGATCAGTTTAGCATTCCCTGCACCCCTGCTCTCCCTAGATAAGGCCAAAACACCTTGGGACTGGCTATTTTTAAGCAGTGAAGCCTAGGGTGACATAAAACTGGTGCCTCATCATACACTGAGAGGCCGAGCAAAGGGAACGAGAACAATTGGTTGTGAACAAGATTAGTGAATTCGTCATAAATTAAATTTGTAGTAGGTATTTAATTTCAATCTTTGAAGGCTCTCTACCCCTTTCGTACTATTTCAAAATGCTATCTAATGAGACGAATAAGGACAAGGAAAATGGCTTTAGAACAGAACTTGATAGATTTATGACCAACATCATACGGTAGCTGCTTCTGAATTTCTGTAACGAGATGCCAAGGCCATGACCCAGGAGCATCTTTTCAGCTGTAGCACCAAGGTTACAGCTCATTTCTGTTTCGTTTCCCAAAATGTGCTTCCTACTAGTTTCTTTTGAAAGCAAAATCTGCCCAGAAGAGAGAAAACCAAAACCCTGGAGTGAAAAAAGACGAGAGTGAACAAATGCACTGAATCATTACATGAAGCTACCAAAGTTCCCACAGCTCACAAGCAGAATTTGCCTGCAGCACCTGTTTTCAGAAGGCACTTAGTCCTGCAGACAGCCAGACTGAGCATGGCACAGCAGTATTCTCAAATGGAACAGCCAGTGCCTCATCTCCAGCTAAGTGATAATCACTGCTGTGCCAAATGTGAGGGTTGCTATCTCACACGTTCACTTACATTTATCTCCCTCTCATTCTTTTAATAATGGAATCATCTGAAAAGAAATTTGTGGCCAGCTTGTCTAGACACCCTTTTCACTCCCCACCCAACTCAGAGAATCATATGCAGTCTCTTTGCAAAACACAAAGATCAGATAACACCCGCCGAACAAACAAGACATGTTTTCCTTTGTCATACAGCGAAAGATTTGAAAAGAACACGAAAACAAAACACTTTGGTGATAACCTAGCTAAGGTTGTATGAAAAGATAGTGGTTAATCAAAGCTGATTCTATCCCACCATCTTACTTACATCAGACAATGTTCTGACATGAGGCCTCAACCAGTTCTTCCATGAATATCACACCCGCATCTGTACTCCAGCTCAAGGTGAAGCTCATACGGAAGCCAGGCACCTGACATGCCTTACAGACTTCTAAAGCAGACATAAATCAATCCAGGCCTTTCAACATTGCTGCATAGATTAAACAAGCACTTAAGACATGCTTCTTTACATCATTAATATACAAAATTTTATTCTGCACGTTAACAGTATCGTATCAATTATAACCCACGTTCACATTATAAATTTTCTGACAGGAATCTGCAACACCAGCTGCTGTATTGGAAATCCTAAGGAAAGCAACTTATCTGAGCTGCTCGGGAAACTTGAAGATAAAGTGCAAAACCACAATGCAATTCTGACAGATGCGCCCTAACTGGTGAAAGATAAAGCTGAGTTCTTACAACTACCAGATATGCATTCATTGCACATGATAGAAGAGTGACCTGGTTTCCAGGTTTTCCCACTACCAGGCATGGATGACAATGAATAACTTCACACTACTTTAAAGGTTAAAATAAAAACCAAACCAACACAGAGTTTACAAATAAAACAGAGCTTTGACTGCAATACCTGAAGTGCAGCACTACACCAGGTATCGTTACCCAATAAAGGTTTTAGGACAAACTGATGAAGACAAATGCTCATTTCACAGCTTCTTTGATTTTAATGTCAAGGTGTCAGTTAGCAGGACACGTTTGGGATCCAAGTCATAATAAATGCATATATTTTTACCTGTACCTGCAGAACAAGTACATAAACAGTGTCATCATTTAGCTGATAAGACTGCCAGCTGTTCCTCACTCCAAAACAATAAAAACCCTCAGTTTTATTAACTAGTTCCAGTTCACAGAAAGTAAACCAAGCTTAATATGTCTCTCCTTACAGCCACTGTACAGTTTTCCCCAGTACCAAACACTACTTTCAAACCAAGCACTACAAGCTGTGACTTTTTCCTGCCTTTTATCTAATTATTTCTCATTATGCCCTTTGGAACAAAGACTTAAGCTTACATCATTCATTTTAATTCCAAGATGCAAATCCAATCACTACATTCAGTGAGGCAGGCTGCCTCCTTCCTCACTGCTCTCTTCTGCCATCCAGTTTAGCACACTATAGTTAGAAACTCTTGTTACTTGTTAAATGAGTTGTAAAGAACAGTTTTATCATGTTACTGAGCTCAGCTTGCGAGTAAGCACACAGTGTCTCAAACAAAACCATCCTGCACAGCAGGATTAAGGACCTTGTCCTGCTTACAGCTTTATGCAATCATGAAATTAACATACATTCCACAGAATTCATTTTTACTTAATACTCTTCCTCACGCTTTTGTATTATTTCATTATAATCAGTACTTCAATCAAAGAACACTTCCACATACCAGTATGCAGGGCTATTTTAAAGGACAGCAGGTATCTAATGTTCTCCTTTTCTAGATCATTTAAACAAGCAAACAGTTTCCAAGACCCACCTGATGTACTCTGCTTAAAGCAGTTACCCCAGATGAGCTAAAATGCACCAAATTACAGTGGAAGAAAGCCTGACCATATTTCTTCATAGATGAAAAATTAATCCTGCAGTAATTGTGCTCCTTCAGTGTCCAGCGATCCTCTTGCAACAGGCTTCTGCAGCTTTACAAATTGCTTCATCTAGGAATTCACTCCATAAAGACTTCACGTATTTCAAAACAAAATGAAGATGCACTTCAAAGGGAAATGCACAATACTGTTAGAAATTGCCAAACACACCCATGAAATCACACAGACAAGATTTCACTCTGTCAATCAGTAGTTCTTTATCATCAATACAGCAACGTTTTTCAATTCAGGCCCCACATGACTCAAGCCCCTGGCAAAAGCTGCCTTATGGCATAAGAATAACATCACTTTTGGAAGACTTTTTTTCTCCTGCTCCTTCCCAAAAGGGTACCCAATATAAAAAAAAAAAACCTGTCAATACTTAAATGTAAATATATGCAGTGATGGGTGAAGTTAAGAGTAATCTCCTCGAAACCACAGAATAGTAATGAATAGCGTTAACTTACCATCAACAAAAAGATTAAGTTTGGATTTTGTTTCTATGAAAAAACAAAACACACCTCACTTCTGAGGTTCTTTATTACTTTGTCAAAGACATTTTAATAGAGTTATTCTGGTATTCTGATCTAGTGTCCGATCCCAGCCAAAAACCTCCCTTGTAAGGAAGACCCCTTATTTTGTACTGATTTGGACTGCCAACTGGCTTCAATTTTTCAATTTAATGAACACTCTGCAGCTCTCAGATGAGTTATGCTTTTCTGTTCACATACAAAAAGACAGTCTAATAGATGTAAACTATTTATTGAATATTTGCCACCAATATTGTTAAATACATCATCTCGCAGTTTTCCGCTTTCAAGTTAAAATGTCAGAAACAGAACACCAAATATTTACAATTCTTATAAGGAATGTTACATAATGACACATTAAGGCGTAAATTCTTTTGGCTTATAATTCTGAAAAGAATGATAATAGCAAAAAGTGATGCAAAATCTTCATCGTGAGATTATGATTAAGCTACAATGTTTTACAAAAATATGGTGTAAGATGGCAATAATCCCATTCAAAATCCTGCATTAGGCCCCTCAAGAGAGGCTGATAATTTATACAGTCAAAACTTTAAAATTTACATATAAAGGTACCCTATCCACCATTGAAAAGTACAACTCTCAACATATACAGTTTTCAGGCCACAGTTTTGAAGGTCTGGAGTATCAAGTTGGTTTGATGAATTAGTCGGTTGGCACTAATGAACACATTTATTGCCCTGTTAGAAAAACAAAGATCGTGTTTTAGTCACTTCTCAAAGAATGCCATAATAAATACAGAGTTAATTCTGGATAACTAAACATATTAGCATCTAGGGAAAGTGAAAGCATCTTGATGTATTAGCATACTATGACGTACCTGAAGCTTACAACTGGCAAGCACTTATGTGCATAGCTATTTCTAAGAAGTCTATTGGCAGGAACTTGAAAAAACTTCAGTCCTTGATTACATAGTTCTAGGGTTTTAAGTAACAAGGGAAGTGCAGAGCAGACATCATGACATCTTTTCATAGGTGAACATGATAATTTCAGAATTAGAAACTTTTTACTCAAGTACTGAGCATGCAGACACATGGAAGCAACTTATTTCAAACACTTGGGGTCACTGAGCATTCCAACTCGATGACACTTGTAATAGTGACTATTTTATTTAGTGCTCTTCCTTCCTCACACGAACAGGGTATCTTAATCTTAGCCCACACATTGTTCAAACAGATGCAAATTACTTTTTATTCCACAAGGAACACAGACATTACCTGAGATTTTCTGCAATACTGATAAGGCCTGAGGCACTGTAAAGCTTACATCTCCAACACACGCAGCACAGCGTTTGCTCCACATCAGGCTGAACAAAGCTGGTCTTTCTCAGCATGTATGGGTAAATTCATAACACAATTCTTGCCCCATTTTGTCCTACTTTCCCCCCAGGCACACCAGTTAGGCAAACAAGACCTTTCCACTGTGTATAAGCTTAGTACAAAAAGACACTTACTTTCCATCTTTAAAATAGGTTTTCAGAGTATCGCTGAAACTTTTGGAGTATTTTACAAACTCTTTCTTTTGGTGCTCAAGTGCCTAAGAAAAGAAAAACACCAACAAGTCTAAGCTGAGATGCTGCTGAGTACATTCTATTGAAGAGAAGTATGTGAGTATTATGTAGAGAAAGGAATAGGTTTACTGTGGTGATGGGTTGTTCTTTTTCTGTGTGTTTTCTTTTTTCAACTAATCTTCCTTCAAAACTGTAGAGAATTACCACTGTCGCTGACCAGTTATGCTCTCCTACTCAGCCTCTGATCAAAACAATATACTTCCTCTTCTCTTATTAGAAATATTGTATCAAAGTTATTCCACATACCCTCCGGTTCTGGTATTGGTATTTCTTGAAGACATTGTTTACTGTGTCAAGAAGTTCCTTTATTGCACTGGCGATGTCCCTGTTTGACAATGAAAAGCATTGTAATATCCACAAGCTATTCAACTCAGAGAAATTTAATCCTCTTTTAACAGTGGCACAGAAGGAATTTCAGATAGGATGTAGAGAAATCAAACACTAAAAAAAGTGACATGAACTGAACTTGCTAATTAGTAATTTGAACTACCATCTACTAACATGAGGATCTTTTAATAAATGTTCAGCTCTGTTTTCACTTCTACGTATGAGAAACTCTTCCGCTGGGAACAATTTTGCCAGCATCTCCCACAGGATTTGAGCCTTCAGTTCTCAATGCAAAGTCAGGCCTCAAACTCCATAAAGATGTAAAATATTGTACTTACTTGATTGTCTGAAGAAACCTCACTCTGTCATTGATCTCATCTGGAATCTTACTAAGAATCTGTTTAAGTGCTCGTGCCTTTTCATTCAGATCTTGGAATTCTGGTTCTGGTCTTTCAATCATATACTCTAATAAGGTAGATATATGAAAAATGCCATTAGTTCTTCACCCCAAAGTTCCCACTGACAGCTTAAGTAAGACATCACTTCACAATATGCACTGGCATTGCTATGATGGATTTCAAGGTATCAACAGAAGCAGCTGAACAATAACTTTTCTTACTGAAAACTGGAGAAAGAACAGAGCCCCATTTTTATTTCCAAATAATGCTGACAACGTTACAATAACCAAACAGTATTAAAAGAACTTTAAGCCTATTGTATGTTGCTCCCCTGTCAGCATAACTGATGCTTTCAATTTGAATTGAGCTGCAAAAGGTGAACTTCCCACACAAACAGTTGAAAGCATACACTTTTTTTTTTTCCTCTTAGTCAAGAACATGTCTGGGGAGTTGAGGTGGTGGGACTTTGTTTCTTCAATCTCTCCAAAACAGGTGCTCAGAGAAATAGCTGTTCCTACTCTTCAGCATGGCTGAAAAAGATCTACTAAGACAAAGTAAACCTGTTCTGAAAAGAGGCAGGGCAATGCATGTTCTCGTTTGGAGTACAATGAAGAAACCCCTTATGCAACATGAGACAAGATATTACCTTCTACATCATCTGCTGCCATACGTAGGAGAGACTCTGTAAAGTTCACATCCACACTTTTTTTCTCCAGAATTTTCATAATAATGTCCTGTGTGAGGCCCGGATTTTCTTTTTCAGCCTGCATTGTAAGAAAACACTCTTAAAAATGCTCTGGAAATGCAACCATAACATTGCAAGCACAAAAGCAGATTGTAATGCAACTTGCTTCATACACCAGAGAGTTTGCTAGAAAATTTTCTATATTTTTCTTAGGTTACATCAGTGGTTTTATATGAATGACTTTATCAATAAACCCTTCTTCTCATTACAAAACTCTTCTTACTCAAGTTGACAGAAACTACTTTATGCTGTTGCACTCCTGTACTGTAACATTAGCAGTATTCACAGTACCTGTTTTGCTATCACAGAAGTATGCTATGCTGAACAAGAATGAGAGTGTGTGTGTTTTGAGGTAGAACTACCACTTCCACCAATCTCAGTTTCTCTGTTATTTGTATTCAGCTTAGCTCCTCAGCACTATCTGTAAAGAGCATTTAACTTGGAAGAGCTCTAATTGAGAATTGAGACTGCTCAGGCACACTAAGTGGAGAAACAGAAAAGCACAGCTTGGTTGTAAAGCTCAGTGTATCTTGCATGTATGTTTATTGTTGCTTTTGCCAAAAGCCCAAAAGATAGCTACTAAATGTATTATGGAATCATACTTAAATCTTCATTCTTTAAGAATATATTAAATTAAAAGAAGCATTTCTTCAATTTCCTGCTAGATCTAAGTAAATGGAAATACCAAATACCAAACTTATCTTTCATCCACAAAAAACATCCCCTATTGATCTTATAAAGTTTTCCAAGCCTGATACATTCCTAGTTCTTCTGAGCACTTATCATACATTATCTGGTCCTATTAACACTGGATTTGTTACCTCTATTGTTCCATCCTCACTGATTTATGCCACCTTAAAGCTTTCATGCAATGCAGACAAAGCAAGATTGTTTAAAATTGCTCAGCATACTTCAATCATTCTGATCACTAACGTGTGCACATGTTCCAGACTTGCAGTCCATGCAATTGTACACTCATTGTTATTGAATATTACTGATCATAAAGGATGCATCCCTCAAACATGGTAATACAAGGAAGTTCTTTAAAGTTTCAACATATGTTGTTTAACTTTTAAATGCCCATTCTTCAATACAAATTACTTCTCACCTTAATAAAAGCTGCTCTCAGTGTCTGAGCTGCAGATAGATTTACTCTTTCTAGCTGCAAGAGAAGTTTAGAATTATTAGCAATTTCAATGTTACCAGAACAGATCAAGCAAAATACTTAGGCTTTGCCTTATATGTCCCAGTGAAAGAAAGGTACTGACAGAGGAAAAAAGACTGATCTCATCTGAGAGATAAACAATATGAAGTATGATCCAAACAAACAGCACTGGATATCTTTGTTTTTATTCAGCTAGCAGCAGAAATCTGACAGAAGACTTCTGAGAACATCTCGTCCATCTCTGATACTTGCAGAGATGGAAATATTCCAGTCAATTACAGCCATTAGCAGTAGAAATATAAATGTATCAGGCTGTTCACAGCTACGTGCTACACCGTGCATCACTTCTTGTCACATAAAGCTACGTCAGATCTGGGAACATTAGAGCTGAAACAGCTCTGAAAGCAGCCTCCCAAAAATATGGGTGTGCATTTACAGGGATGAAGGGAAAAAAGAACACCAAAACGATCCTTTCATAAGGAACTGCATGGTCAAGTAAAGTCTTTCTTACCTGCATTTTTGCTAATATCCTCAGCAAAACCTAATTAAAACAATATCAGGGCCAACATACATAGTAACTTTTGAGAAGCTTGAAACTGAATTTGAAAGAAGGGTGAAACAATGCACAGAAATAAAGTGGTGCTAAGAAGTTCTCTCTGTCAAGGTAAGCAGCCTGTTACTGCCATCAGATGTCCTAACACGAAGGGATTACTAGATTCTAAAGCAAAAGCACACAGCTTACCTCATTAAAGACAGGGTACATAACAGCATAGAGTGGCATGGAAACCATAGAAGTGCTCTCTGCTTCATTCTTCATCTCTTCCATTGTCATCCTCATTCAAAGTCCCACTTCTCAAGAAAAATGCTATAGAAGCAAAAGACTCCTCATTCACTGAAATGTTTCTTCTTTCTCCTCGTCGTGCAGGAATATTTGAAGAACTTGAGAAAAGTTGCCCTTGTGTTGAGAGGAAAAAAACCAACAAGTAGTTATAAATGCTAATGACTGATTAGTGCTCAAATAGAAAAAAAACAAACACAGAACAACATCAGTTCCTGCCCAGAGTGTGGGAATTATGAGTTTAAGCAAGTATAGAATGGCTGCTTCATGCCATTTTAAACTCCCAATTCTAATTTATCAAACAAGCAGGTATTTTATAGGAACATGCTGCCACAAAATCTTCACTGCAAGTTCCTATGTAGTTCATTTCCCTACAAGTGATTTCACTCAATGCACAATACAAAAACTGTGAATGCTGTATCTTTGCTCTTATATAAGCACAAGTCTTAAGTCATCTTTCCACTCAGGGTGTGTCAACAGTTATGTTAACTGAATGGAAAATTATTGTTCCAGTCACTGAACCTTGGTTTTGGAAGTTCTCCACCCAGTCCAGCTCATTGTGCCCAAGATAGTGCAATCATTGCTCAGACACAGAAATTAAGAGGGGCAAAAAAGGAAGATGGCTGCCCCATGGTTCATAAGAAATCTTTGTAACAGACAGCTAGATTTGGTGTTCAACAAGTTAAGACTTCGAGAATATTTCACACACCATAATTGAGTTGAAGAACCTAATGTCCAATTTAGGAATAAAGATGCTAATGCTTTTATTTCTTTGATTTTCTCTGTATTTAATGTGCTATGGGAGGTTTTTCTCTCCCAGGAACCTTCAGACATCCAGCATCTGTATGCCCAAGTACCAGATTTTACTGATATTTTAGCAAGTGAATAGGGTGACATTTTTAAGCAACAGTAAAAACTACAGCAATAATCAGTATGACTTGGCAATATTTCGAACGGGACAAAACACGCTAAGACACTTCAAGCTGTATTCCCCATTCTGCTCTGCACTGGCTAGAAATCTCCCCTACACAACTATTTAAATAACAAAACATTTAATCTTTTTGCCCAGGGCAAGTACATAGAAGTGAAATTTGTTATTGATCCAAGTAAGCACATAAGGAACACGGATGGCTACAAATGCCACGCATGCCTCACGTGTGCATGTGACTGGGTATGGATACAGCCCAGTGTGATCACACTCAGGAGCAGGTCACATTACAGGAATAGCCAGCAGCTGGGCAAGCACGTTAAGAAGAAGAAATTAAATGTAAATATAGAAACAAGTGACAGTTCTTCATACAAACTGTGACATGGATTATCTACTGCAAAAACTCCTATCTTTCCTCTTCTTGATTCAAACCTTCAGTGTGACACATAAGCAGACTCACTGGGTCCTTATAAAGGAATGTACAGCTATGTTGGCATGAATGGTATTCCAGATCAAGACTCACTTATTTTTCTGTTTACTACCTACCAGCAGCTATTTTACATGCATTTATCAACAACATGGAAGAACACAAGTGAATATTCATCATTTCCCCCAAATGGGAACATCTTTAAACCATTTGTTTCCAAGTTACACAAATTGATGCCAAGTCTACGCCCATAAGGGGGGGGTTGGGGGGGGACTGGTCTGAACAAGTTTCCTCCACCAGTGCAAGTACAAGCTGTCCCATTTCTTACACATGCGTACTGCTGGCACCAGCAACTCTGCCATGTCATGGGCAGGGTGGAGGGAGAGCTGTTTGCTTTCCTCTTTAATTCTGTGTCTCTGGAAGCTCAGTAAGATAAACGCTCAAGCAAGACAGCACACAAAGGAGCATCACAGAAGACAGCATTCATAGATTGCCTGCAAGTGTTTATCTAAAGTATTGTGCTGTCAGAGCAAGCTTTTCAAGCAGGTATCTGAACATCACTGAACATTACCCAAAGATTTTTGATCAGAAGCAGAAGGGCAAAAAAGGACAAAGCAAGCATTAGACATAGTTACAGTGTTTTTATGGGATAGCAGTATCCAGGTAGAAAATAAAAGACTAACTGAAATGATAGATTTTTACGACAATGAAAACCTATTGCACTGTGGACTACCATGAAAGACTCATTTTCTGAAGAGCTATAAGCTACTGTTACTAATCTATGGTACCATTAAACACCCCATATAAAAACAATTATACACCATCCATTACCTCTTTAGCAGACACAGACATTCCTCAAACAAGGTAAATCAACCCTGGATTCACATTATCACAGAGGACTCAAGGGACTGAAGACAAGAGGTGCTTTTAAATACACGTGCAAACAAAAAACAGGCAAGAGAATCAAAGACTTTTGTTGGCAGCATCAGAAATAAGTCTCAAATACAATTTAGACCATCAAAACAGTAATTAACCCCATTATTCAGCTGAATTATTAGATAGACCAGCAGCCCTCAAATGCTGTTGCTGTTTGGGGCTTTCCTGACATTCAAAAAAGCTGGAATAAGATCCTATTAATAGGTGACCCATTCTAGCACCACGCTGTCACATGGTATGGAGAGCCCTGGCAAATTGCTGTTAGATGCAAAAAGGGTGTTACTCAACTGGCCAATCTGTTAATTGGTCTGAGGGAAAAGACAAGGAGAAATTAGGATACACTGTGAGAGCTATGGGAAAAGACAGACTGCTAAATATCATCTGCATAGAAGATTTTTTTCTTTACGCAGCAATCCCACAGATTCAAATGTAGCCTGTTCACCAGCATGTGTAATTACAAGCCATGCCTCACCCCTATCAGATGAAATCAATCATCAGAGAGAAAGAACAAGATGGATATAGTGAGTGTCAAGAGAATTTAAATTTGAAAACAACGCTAAGATGCAAGCTAATCTAATCCTGTCTGTTCAGCATTAAGCCAAACGCATCGAGCCCTATTCCCAGAGAATAACTAATACAGAATCTAATTTCACTGTCAATACAAAACTTACGTTATAACCTTTAATGTTTCAGCACCAAAAGACTATCCCAACTATTCAGTAGTCACAAAACTAGCATATTTTTAGATAAATTTCAATGAATTCTGTTACAGACTTATCCCTCCATATCCACCCAATGAGGTTTTCAATCATTCAATTGAACCGTCGAGGAAAAAAGCCACACAACACCCCACACTCACATAAACTTCCTGTAAAGCAAAAAGGACAAAAAGCAAGAAACTCCACATTTTCCAAAAATGTACAGCTACTGTTATCAGTGCCCAAGATATAAGCTTGCTTCTCTCATCTATGCTGTTTTCTGACAGGCACTGAAAATCAAGTAGCAGAATTGAAGAGAAACTGTATTCACTCCTCAGCTATGTCACCCACCCACACCACTGGTGCTGTCTCTATTCCATTCTCAAGGCTCCATTTGTCTCAGATGTAGAAAATCTTAAAGTATTCATGTTATTTGTTTTTAAGCCAACTACTAAGAGGAAGAAGGCCTGAGGCACTGATCTACCTGCATGATTAATTCAATGGCTGGCTTTTAGGACAGAACCAGAAGTCACTGCTCTGCTCCTATAGAAACAGATTATCCCCATTACCAAGAAGTTCTGCTCCACTTCTTGTAATGAGGATTCAAGAAGGTTGTGTTAAGAAAAAAATCCTCCAAGATTTGAGTTATCAGAAAAACTTACTTAAGCTCAGTAAGAAATATGGAGGTAAAAACAAACACTTCACTTGAGGTCTGTCCCAAATTCAGAGGCAAAGATCTTCGCCTCCACTTGTAAAACCACTGTGCATGGCCAATATGCTGTTCTAACAATGTATGTACCTGGTGTATAGCTTGGTACCTTCAAGTTTCTCTTATTAACGGTTATTTAAAAGTAACTAAAAAAAAAAACCAACACACAAGTTTTCCCTGTCAGGAGAGAAGTTACCTGCACAGTATTTCCAATTATAGATCATAATCACTCCCCCTGTACAACTTTGACTGTACAGTACAAAGCTTGAAGCCTTTGTGCCTCAGATAATGAGCTACTTATCTTTTTTAGAGCCTGGGTGACTTGTGGACAGGGTGGTTGAATTCACTGAAATTGGCATCTAGAGCAGCTGTGATGATAACAACCTGCGCATTCTAAAACCAGTGAAGACAACAAGAAACTTAAAACAGGCTGCCTACTGTACAGGTTCTGTGTTCTGCTGACTCTTATATTCAGCAGCTTCACTAAAGAGATGCAAAATGAGTATTATCAGAAAATAGCACTGAAGTTTAATAAGCATCTTCAATTTGCCAAGAGCAAACATTCACTTCTCAAATACCTGCATGCACATTTATTGCAGCCACTTCCAGGTGAATGCACTCTGACAAAGCATAACTGCTTGTGCATTTTGTTATTGTGAGGCCAATTTGTGTGACTAATTCAAGTTGCACAAACTCAAACCCAAAATGCCTATTTTTAGACAGTTACTTTAAAAAAATCCAAACCTATTCTGAAATCAGGCTTACAGTACATTCGCAGTCTGAAATTCAGAATGGAAGTTGTTTAATATGCTCTAATATAAATACTTTGTTTTTGAGTCTGCCTATTGCATGAGAAACCACAGCTGCCCAGACCAGGCCCTAATTTCATTTGTCAGCCCAACGAATAATATTTGGCTTTCATAGAATGGCTTAGGTTGGAAGAGACCTTAAAGCCCACTCAGTCCTAAGCCCCGATGTGGGCCACCAGCTCAGGCTGCCCAGGGCCCATCCACGGCCTTGGGCACCTCCAGGGATGGGGCACTCACAACTGCAGACAGCAGTGCCAGGGCCCCACCACTCTGAGCCAAGAATTTCCCCCTAAGTCCTAACCAAAATCTCTCTTTTATGTTTTAAAAGCCCTTCCCCCTAGTCCTATCACTACTGACCCACATACAAAGGTGGTTTCTCTCCTATTAATATGCTCTCCTTAAGTACTAGGAGGCTACAAAGAGATTTCCCTAAGCCTTCTCTTCTCCAATACAACACAGAATAAGACAACACATCCTCGCTTCTCTTTCAAGCTCTTTTTCTTCTCCTTGGGAAGTTGAAAGTAAAACCATTCAGTTGCTATTGCCCTATCAACCACTGACAGATAAGCCACAAACAGTTCCAAACACAATAACACATCGCCATGGGTAAACAACCAGCGCTCAGCAATCAGTCCGTCTGATAACAAGCACACATCCACCTGCCCCAAGGCTTCAGCAGCATACTCGTGCCCCCTACATGGGCAAGCCTCAGGAAGGCCGGACACTCATCGCTCATTCATCACATAATAGCACCAACACCAGCCCAAAGCTCGGTGCTCACAGGCACTTTCTCTCCTCCCTCTGCCTTCAGGGTCGGCGGAAGGCCCCACCTAGAGCGAGCCGGGCCCGGCCCTATCAGCACCGTTCAGCAATACGAGGCCGGGCTACAAACACACGGCGGGCCTAGCGCTGCCAGGAACGGCCGAGGGGCTGCAGGCGGGGATTGCCGCCCTGCCCTTCCAGGAGGGCCCCGAGCAGGAAGGACGGGGACAAGGACGAGCCGTCGGCCTGGGTCACGCCGCTGATGGGCCGCTCCCGCAATAGAGAGGAAAAGGCCGAGGCCCACACCACGCTCACCTGCGGCGGGCGCTTCTTATGCCTCTACCCGGCCCCATACCCAAAATTTTTACGCTTCTAACGTAGCACAGCCCCAAAGGAAAAGCCGGGCCCTACGCAAACACGCCAGTGACCCTCGTCCTCTCCCTTCTTCTACGTGCCCTTATCCTCGCAACACCCAGTCCAAGAGAGAAGATGAAGAGCTCACCTCACCCCCTTACCTCAGCTCCCCTCCGCCCCGCAAAGCCCACAGAGCTCCGAGGGGCTTCTCCACTGTACCGGAAGCCCTACGAGAAGGAAGCGTCCGCCGTGTTACCACACACCAGGCGTTGTCCGGAACTAACCGGCAGCCCCACAGGCCCCTGGGATTCGTAGTCCGCTCCCCTCAACTACAAAGCCCACAATGCAACGCAGCAGCAAAATGGGCGGGTGGAGAAGGAAAGAGGAGGAGCAGAGGGTATCCAATCAGAGCTCAGATCTGGATGAGTGGGCGGGGCCTCGGCGGGGCGGGGCGGGGCGCGGCGGGCATATCCCGGCGCAGGCAGCGGCGGTGGCAGCACTTCTCACGGTGGAGCGTGGAGGGGGGTGGTGCTGAGCTTCTTTGCTGAGCTGGGTAAGTGCTGTTAGCCTGTTGTTGTCGGTACCGGCATTGCGGTTGGTGCTGTGGGGGGGGGGGGGGTTGCGGTTCGTTGTTTGCGTAGCGTGAAGCTGTGTGAGGCGCTTAGGGTCTCTGGGTTGCGAGGGGAGGACAGGAACGCTCGCGCCGCGCTGACCGTTAGCGCCTGAGGGGAGGCGGCGGGCGGTGCGGGGCTGTGTGGGGAGCGAATGGAGGTGGGAGAGAGGAGCGGTAACGCAGCCTCCCACTGTTCCCGCACCTGCTGCCTGTCCACCTGCGTGTGCTATCCGCCACGCTGCGGTATCCTGACGCTCTGTCCCGGCTGTAGGGTGAGCGTAATGGAACGTGGCTGCTGCCCCAGCCCTGTGCTGAGGTGCTTGGCTCGGTGCTGCTCTGCACGCGTCCCCGATGTGGGCTGTTTGAGAGCGGTCGCCTTACTTTCTGTGCTTTCTGTTAACTGCGCTATTGGGAAGCTCTGAAAATGAGTTCTGGTCAAAACGCAGCTCGGTTCTGGGTTTGCTTCTCTATTCCTGGTGTATCGGTGTGCAACTTTTCCACATTCCGTTTGACTTTAACGAGGCGCGTGGGTTTTAGTGCGAGCAGGTGATAAATGGGTAAATCACGGTGCTCCCGAATGCCGGCTGCATCTCCTTGCAGCACCGAGGTGTTGAAGTGGAAGGCACTGACATCTGTGTGTGGGAGCAGAGCCTTGTGTGCGCTGCCCGTGCATGGTACCAGTGCCCACCATCTGCACGAAGGTAAGGAAGGATGCTGGAAAACGAGTGCTGGATTTGCAGTGCTTTATTATGTGTGTGGAGTGTTTGTTTGGATTCCTCAATTATTTTCTTTCTGTTTCTGATGCGATCAGTGCTTCAGTCCAACAGCAAGCCTTGCTGGTTAGTTTAGGTGAGAGACACCAAAATGTCATAGTGTGGGTTGAGGTGTATATGCCTATGGTATTTTTCACTTCTTGGTGGCTTTAAAGCCAAGCTACAAAGCTGCAGTCCTGCTGGTGCTAATATTTTATTTGAAATCATAGAGTTAATAATACTTTATAATGCTTTTCTAGATTTTATTTTAGCAATAAGCTATTTCCCACTTCATTATTTTTTTCAGCTTTTTTATTTTTCAGAGTGGTAGCTTGGTTGAGTGTGGTGAGGAATGGCTGTTCAGGAGGTGAGAGTAAGGAGGAAAGGCTTTTACTTTGAGATGTATTTTGTCTATGGAATTGCACGGAGCAGCTATGAGGTAACAAAACATGATGTCATGTGGTGAGGTTAATCTGGCTTAGGTTTTAAAATTTGTTTTGACTCGCTCACCTCATTCATTATTTTTGGTAAGTAGTTTCATCGTGTGTATACAAAAGCATTTACAAAGCTGCTATTTGTCTACTCACATTTTTCTGAAACTATGAGCTATCTTGTATATGTGTTGGTCTATTGAAATCCTGAGTTACTGTGCTGCTGACTTAAGTTGATTCTGAAAATGGCCTGCAATTAATGCACCTGTTAAGTGTCTTTGATTCTGTTGGAACCTATGGCTATGGTGTGCTTCTTAAGATGTAGGTCTTCTGTTACCTCCTCTTCCAGTCATAAAAGAACATGTTCAGACCGTCCAGCAGAGCTCCAGGAGTGTCTAAGCATTCTGTCATTGTAATCTCCCCCCACTTATTCTGTAGGTGTAAATGTCATATGTTTACCTGTCTCTTAATTCAGCTTCTCTTGCATGACTAAATGTAGCAGTGGAGAGGAGCTAGTGCTGATAGGATTCTTTGCATCAAGCTCTTGCTATTCCAAGGTCTTCAGAATGTTGTCCAACCAATGTATCTGCATGGTATCTGTTGAGTCATGGCCTGAAGCACTGAGCACCTAGAGAAAGGACCTGGTCAGCCCTTGGTGCACAGGTGAAGGCAGTTCAGCTGTGTGACCACAGGGAGTCAAGTCTGACTGCCCCTCTTCTAGACTTCATTGAAGGGCTGCGTGCCACTGGGGGAGGATCTCAGTTTGGAGATTCCTCCCTTGTGGAGTTTTCCCTGTGAACCTAAGCCTTTAGAGATGGGTGAGCGCTCTTCCTTTGTAACGCCGTTCATTTGCATTAGTCCCTTTGCTACTGTGTTCCTATACTGCTGTTCCACTGTGTTGACCTTTCTGATTGTTGCACTGTGTATAACCAAGATGTTATAATTGCAATATAATCAAAAGAGTAAGGCAAAGCTGTATAACCAAGATGTTATAATTGCAATATAATCAAAAGAGTAAGGCAAACAAGGATCACAAAGAGAATAAGTAGAAGAGCTTACCCTTGGGTTGAGCTCACTAGAAGATATCAAAGAGGAGGATCTCCAGAAGAGATCCTTCCCCTCTGGTAGCCAGCTCTTAAATAGGTCCAGGAGGGGTGGAGCCTGGCTCCATCCCTTCCTGCAGCACAGGTGAATTGCCTTCACCTGTGCTCCTCTGGCTGACTCATGGCTCACCTCAGGTGATCAATCAGAGGTTCAGGCCGTGACTCAGCAGTTCCCATACACACTGTCTTACTGGTTTCTCCAACTGGAGTTTGTGCTGCTCTTCGTCTATGAAGACACATCTCTGATGTGCTTGAGTATCTTTTAAAATAACTTGACAGTCCATGTTCTGTGCAGGCAGTACTTTATTCTGTCTTTGTAAAGTCACTGTTTGAACATGAATTAACAGTCTTAAGTCCTGTGTTCAGGACTTCAGGACTCTGTGATTCTCTGTGGTTAAAAATATTTTTAAAACTGACATAGGAACATGGGTTTAAAATTGCCTGGTTTTCTTTGTTTTATACAGTTGCTTCTCTTTGACATAGGAGGTAACCATTAATACTTAAAGTGATGGGCAGATATTAGGGGTAGGACCACTATGAAGTGGTAACTTTGTACCTTTAAAGACCAGACTAGTTGAGTTAAATTTGGAAGCATCTTCAAAATAGTTGGGTTCAATTTCTTTTGAGTGTTTTTAGGCATGTGCATGTCAGAAGGCTTGTGGATTTTGTTAGCGATTGGGTAGAACTAAATGTAAGTGTAGGTAAGATAACCTGTGCATCCTGTTAATGAGCCTCCATTTTTCCTATTCATCTCATACACGCAATCCACTTCTTGTTGCTCCTTCAGCCAAGCCAATGTTGGGTGTCAGTAGCGCAGCCTTTAACAGCAGCCAGCGCTCCCTGGTAGGGTGCTCACTGCCTGGCATTGTTTCGCAGGGCAGCATTGGTGTTCTTTTGTCTGTTTGTGTTGTGGGTAATTCTGAGCTGCATCTCCTCTGGTGACCTGAAATGTCTGATAAGAAATTGCTCTTATGTGGTGTGATAAAAATATCAACTCTAAGGTCACATTTTGCTTTGTTTAATACACTTCAAAGCTAATGATTATGAGAACAGCAGAGTGTGGCTAATGTGATAAAAGCTGTGTGAGTTATCCACGTTCTTCTTGGTCTTCTAGAGTCATTGCAAAGCAGCTCTAGCTATGAGATGGGAAAAGAGAATGTTTTGTTGATATAAGCTAATTAGTTAAATATGCACCTTGCTTTTGGTTAATAAGATTTGACCTTCTGTATTGTGAAGAGTTTTTGGTTTTGTCGAGTGTTTAAATATGGTAATTCTTCAAGAATATTTTCTCAGATCTTAAGACTGTTGTTTTTTTGGGAGGGACAACTGATAGTTACATGTGTATTCCTGCTGGAAGGAATTTGAGCAGTGTGGTTGTGCTCAGTTTTAACCAAATAGCTGCCTATTAATCAGAGATACCTTCCTGTTGATTTGGTTGTTCTCCAGCCTTGCAGTTTTTCATCATTACTGTTACTGCTAAACTAATAATTGCTTAATAATGTGAAGGATATCTAATCTGCTGTGTGTGTCTGAGGATAAGTTTGACCTCATGATGGCTTGAGACTGGTGGGCTGCAGGCTTCTAGAAAAATCACTTCTATCCAGATAGAAAATGTGCTCAGTGAGGTTTCTTGCTTATACAAACAGAAATGCTTCTTAGCTAAGAGTGATCTCCCAAGTCCTTCAGTTCCTGAGCTCATTTGTTTTCATGTATTTTATTATCTGAGCATTTGTCTGTGGAGTGGGCTTGGCATTTCCCTTGCATGAGAAGGGCACCTTCTCATCACCTGCTTTCCAACTTGTTGTGACAACATATTTAAGATTTTGTTTTAATTCTGGAATTGACTGAATTTTGCTCAGATTTTAAAAGCACTAATTAGCTTCACAATAAAATGTGCTCAAAAGCTTGTACCAGATGTGAACTCTATCTAGTGAGCTGCTTGAGCAGAGATACCACTGCAGCCCTTGGCTTGCTAAGGAACTTTAGAGTAAGCTAGAGAGCTTGGACATCCGCTTCATAATGTTATCTTTTAACTGATCTTGGCATGTCAGAGTAATGTTGGAAGCATGGGTACTTTACTGAAGTCAGCCTGTCTGAATTCCTTGTGATCACTGAGGCACTGGAGACTGCCTCCTGCCTTGATAATAGAGCAAAATGCTGTTTTTCAGTAACAGCCATTCCTGTCTAAGGTAATGCTCGCTGCCCCAGTTTTCCCTGGGTGCATCTTGGTTATATAAGTTACAGCTACAAAGAAAATAGGTTTAAAGATTTAAGATTTTTTTTTTTAATTGGCAAACTAAAACTGCCTTTTTGGAATACTTTTCTTTCCACTTCTAAATCCAAAGCAGCTCTTTGAGCATTTAATGATCGGGTATTTCACATCGCAATTTGAACTTGCTGAACCAACTCATGTTTTCTTTCTCACTTCTTTCCAAAAAGTATTTGATCTGGTTTCTAAACTATTTAAAAATATTAATCAAAGCCTATGCCCAGAGACAGTGAGCTTGTTGTAATACTAGGTTTTCAACTGGAGATCCTTTGGTATGAAGGAAAGAGGAGTAGGTCTCAGTGTTGTGAGTAGTGGTGAAGCCCACAGGTGAGTGATATCTGTATCAGCCAAGGGGAATGAGAAGTGGGGAGGAGACAGGAAAGCC